TAACAGAATAAAAGATAAAGGACACATGATCATCTCAATACGTGTACAAAAAGCATCTGAGGGGCGCATGGGTGGCTCAGTCAGTTAAGCGTCTGCCTTCAGCTCAGGTCATGATCCCAGGGTCTTGGGATCGAGTCCCGCATCAGGCTCCCTGCTCCACAGGGGTCTGCTTCTCCCTCTCTCTGCCCCTCCCCCTGCTCATGCTCTCTCTCTCTCGCTCGCTCACTCTATCTCAAATAAGTAAAATCAAGAAGGAAAGAAAAGGAAGAAAGAAAAGCATCTGAGGGGCACCTGGGTCGCTCAGTTGGTCAGGCATCCTACTCTTGATTTCGGCTCAGGTCATGGTCTGGGGATCATGGGATCAAGCCCCTGCATTGGGCTCCGCGCTCAGCGGGGAGTCTGCTTGAAGATTTCTCTCTCCCTCTCCCTCTGACCCTCCCTCCCACCCCCCACCCCCACATGCTCTCTCTCTCAGTAAATAAATAAATCTTAAAAAAAAAAGAAAAAGCATTTGACAAAGTTAGACCTTGTTAAGCCATTGAAACATACTCAACCCATACAAGGAGTTTTCCCATAACAATCATTTTGAAACATATTTAATATAATTCATCTGTGTGACTCCACTTACAGGGACTATAAGACATATATGGAATTGGAATATAACATGAACAAAATGTGACTTCCTCACACCCAGTACTTGACTGTATACTGAGCATTATGCTGTTCTGTATGGATACGCAGGATAACATTTTTAAAGATATGAACCTAGATAGAGCTTTTATTCTCCTGATATTTTCCTCCTGTCCTTTTAAAGCAGATCATTGTCTCAGAGGGAGGATGGGATGGGACAGAAAACAGAAATGCCTATCGTTTTCCAACAGCCTAAATCCAACAGGAGATTTTCTAGATGCCTCAGAGGCAAATAGCAAGATGGACAAAGGCTGGGGTGGAGGTGGGGCGGGGAGGGAAGCTGGGCTCCCCCAGGGAAGGAAGAGTGGGGGAGTTCTGTGAATCCCAGGCAGCCCTGCATCGTAACCTATGGCCCCGAAAAGGGCAATGAGACCCCAGAGAAGGATGGTGGTGGGCAATGGAGAGGGAGGTTCTCAAGCGAGGTCCAGAGGAAGCAACAGAAAGAGCTCCCAGACAAAAGGGGCGCCCGCACAGGAGGTGAGGATGCCCTTAGCTGCCACCTGTGTGCACCAACGTGGCCCTGGGCCACCTGATTGCAGAGATGCCACCAAGGATGCGTCCAGATGTACCAGGGCAAACCGGGGATCCGAGAAGCAGACAGCCCCCTCCCCAAGGGGAAGAAGAAGGCAAAGCCCAAATTGACTGTGCCGGGCTCTAGGAATGCACAAGGAGAGAAACATCCCCTTTTGCGGACCTTATAGTCACCCTGCTGGCTCTGTTTCCTTGGGGCGCCCCCGGTGAGAACCATTGCTGGCTGGGGGCCTGAGGGTAGGGTGGGAGCTGTGCTGCTTCCCCCATGCCTGGCCCCGGGGGGAGGCGGACGG